CGGAGAATCGTTTAGCAGATTTGGAGGTATTTTGAGGGTCAGCGTTGAAGCATGTTAGCGTGACATCTTTCTTGGATGGACTGACTGGGATCTCTGTTTTTTGTGAGTTTGTGAGTGGAGATTCTCCTGTTAAAGGCTTCCAAAGAGGGACGCTATGTGAAGCAGTAAGAAAACTCAGCTTGATTCACTGTAGCCTACAGAGCTGTTCACGCGTCAGCGTTTGTTTCGTAATCCTGGTAGTGATGGGATATCAGCTTGTGAGAGAAACCTCACAGCTTGAAGGAGGATTCCAGGCTTATATCGAGGAAGCATAGCGATTCTCTGATTTTGCGAAAACGCGCAAATTCTGCAGTGGATATGCCATCGGCGACCGAGAGTGGCCCTCCCCGCGGCGCTATTGACGCGGCACGCCCACCCGACAAGCTTGCTGCAGGTCCATTACCGTTTAGCAGAGAGAGCATTAGCGTAGAAGAGGGCAGCGGCGATGAGAGTCGAAGCGGTGCGGAAATCAAAGGGCGAGAGCTTCTCGTGTTCAGGGCCGTCTCTCACGTTTTTTCTTCATCCCAGCACCACTGACCACCTCTACTTTAATTTTTACGAACTTCTTCCTAGTCCTGAACTCCGCCTTTGGATGTATGACATATTTTTTCGCAAGGGATTGATTGGCAGTTCATGTCCACGCCTTCCTGAAAATGAGGATGGCAGTCATCATCCAGCTGGCATTGGTATGTATATCATGCCGAAGAAATGGAGTTGGCCGCATAATATCGCCAATACATCACCTTGTGGCGACCTCTAGGGAATAGCTGCTTAAATATGACCACAGCCTGGTTTTAAAATGACCTGTTAAACATGAAGAAGACCAAGGGGTGCATGAAACCCTTGCCAGGCAATGGGGAATATTTGATAGTGGTTCCTATATGACCCGGATCTTACAAGAAGCAGTCTGACCCTGATGCGTCAATGTCCAAACCAAACATGAGATGTGGATCAAATAAGAACGATGCGATTAAGTAATGGAACTTAATAAGATTCTGAAGGTTAGAGGACGGAGGTTCTATTGGACTTGTTAACCAAAGTTCATCGAAGTCACTCAAGGGCTGCTACGCTTTTGCTCAAGCTATTGAATGATATCTCCTAAATAGCGAAATTACTCAGGTTGATCTATCGCAAACGGACCTCTCAGATTCACACGTCGATTTTCACGATTCTGTAAGGAACTGGAAGTATTCATTTTTCCGACGTTTACTTCTTTTCACCTCCTGCCGAACCCTCCTGTACCTTCTCGTTTCCTCGTGTCGTGTTCATTGCTCGTTCCAACCCCTTTATATTCAGAAGCGCAAGGTGTGTCGTTAGTTACGACAACTCGCACATCTCTTCGCGGTGCGGAAGCGAACACATTACGCGGCAATGATTCTTTACCTACTGGAGGGACGGAACAGCGAGAGTCCAGTCCCTCCTCTCATTCTTTTTTCACGAAATAAAGTGAGTGGGTGTAGCTGCCGTGACCTCTGGATAATCATCCAAAAATATTAGGTTCAATCATGAGTAATTCCCTTTCCGATTTTCCTTTCGAACGGCTCCGAATCCCAGGGAAGGAGGTGAGAGCCCTAGGACTGACAAGGGGTCTTTCAGGACATGGAGCGTTTTTTCAAAATGGTTACCTGAATGTTGTAGAGGCTCATGTGAGGAACACAGAACCATGGTTCATTTTTCCTGAACGCCCCAGGAATGTCAAAACAGCGGGGAAGAAATGGTCCAAAGTTCGATCCTCCGTGATGACAAATTTTTGCAATTTATGTTGGCGCCTCCAAATTGCCGCAAAACACGACAATGACATCTATTCTCGACGATGGCGCCATTTGGCGGCAATCTGGGGCGCCAAACTATATTGCAAAAATTAGTCATCACCGGGGATCGAACTCTGGACCATTTCTTCACCACTGTTTTGACATTCCTGGAGGCGTTCAGGAAAAATGGATCATGGTTCTGTGTTCCTCGCATGAGCCCCTACAACATGCAGAAAACCATTTCGAAAAAGCGCTCCATGTCCTGAAAGACCTTCCTTGTAAGCATTGTAGGAGGGAGGGACTTCGAGGTGGGTGAGCCAACTACAGTGTGGCAAAAGTTTGAATTGTGTGAACCACAATGCCCATGAGCCGCTGATTAAGGTGAGAGAGCGCAGACGAGAGATGGATCTGAGGATGCGGCTCAAAGGACCGGGTTCCAGTTATCGCTTCGGGACCCCGTCATATGCGACTCCTTCGAGTGTGTCTCTATTTTCGAGGTACACTTTACTTGACTGCTTCTGGGACCAGTTTTTCCTAGCCATAAGACAATCAGTGGGATAGCAGAAACTGGCTGAGTTGCGGCACGACCCAGTTAACGAAAAGGCATGCCGACTTTGACCGAAAACTTTTCATGATGGGAAATACAACCTTGAAGACCGTCTACACTATCACGTAGGTTGATTATGGCTCTCGGTGATTCTCGTTACCAGCACGGCCTGCTTGTAGTAGGCATGCAGTGCTTGCAAAACTTTCTGAGTTCACGCCCTCAGATTCGCGGAAGGTCTTTATTGCAACAGGCCGCAAAGTCTCGGCGAGAAGGGCATCGACCCCTCAATGCGTGGATGGAGGACGTCCGCTGTTGAAGGCTGCTGTCTATGCATTACCTGAATTATAAAGTTCGTATTAGGGAATAGATCAAGTCACACAAAATTGGTATCAAATCCGTACATACTTATGGCTCAACCTAATACATAGCACAAATCGCATTCACCTATATATAGTTCGCTTGTCCCGCCTACGCAGAAATCGTTCTCTCTCTCTGTCGAGTTCATTTTTCCATCAGTTAGACTATTTCGGCCATTTCATGTGAAATTTACTTCCCGTTTCCAGTTGCTTCTCTTTTTCTTTTTTTCCTTATTTACCTTTTCATTTCTTGTGATACTTTTTTATAGCATTCTTTTCAACATCTACCTCATTATACTTTTTTCTTGTTATGCCAGTCCTCTTCCCTTTCTAATCTTTTTTCTATGTTGCGTACTCCATTTTTCTGCCATGCTTTTCATCACTTATGATATTGTTTCACTTTTCACTTCGACACTTCTCTTCCTTTTCTACAGGTGGGCCTGATAGCTAGCTCATTGCATAAGGCATACATAACAGAGTTCCCCTTACGATTCTGAATGGTGGTTGTGTGCGTGGCGCACTCGAAAAGGGTGTTGAGTCCAGCACTTAATATTGCTACCACGAAAACTACTACGATTCGACAAGACATTTGAAAGTAATTTTGAGCAGTTGAGTAGTTGAGTAGCTCTTATCTCGTACATTCACGGCCGCAAATTGAAAATTCTCTCAAATATATTATCAATTATTTTTGAGCTTTTCAAGCTCTGAAAATTTGCCCTTTTCGTTGAGGTTTTACTTTTGCAACTGTCCGCTCCATTCTTTTCGCGTTTCACTTTTTCCTTTGAATTGTTACTGTACTGCTCACTGGGAAGGTCGTTCAAGATATGGAGCACTTTTTGATACAATTTTTGCGTCCTAAAGGGGCACTTGCGAGGAGCGTGAAGCTAGTGGTTATTTTTTCACTGAACGGCCGTGGGATTGCTAGAGAATGAAACTTGTGATAGTTTTTTCTGAGCGGCCCTGGGATTGCTAGAAAAATGAGAGAATATTTTTTAGGAAGAAGTCTTCTCAAATTTCAGTTTACTGTACACAATTTGTAACGTTTATTATTATAATTTTCATGCATATTAGCTTTTTTATCAGTAAATAAGTGTAAATATGTATGAGCACAAGAAAGTTGAGAGCATATCAATGCAAAATTGGTCTCCAGTGGGTATGAACCTCAGGCCATTATTTCCACACATTTTTGGCATTCCCACAGCCGCTCAGAGAAAGCGATCCTTATGTTAACTTTGTGTTGGTACCCCTATATCGTGCAACCGTGTTGGAAAAGCACTACACATTCTTAAAGACTTTTCTGGTGCGCTCTTTCTATTACACCTGTCTTCCTATTATCGATCGTAATTTAATGTTTCTTGTATCTCACATCACCCGATCTCATTGATTACATTGTTCCTTGTTGATCAATACGTATCCCTTA